CTATATACTTGGCTTTCCAGGCTCCCTTGCAGGATGAGACCCCAATCAATCTGGCCAATGGGAACTGAGAGGTGAAGTCTAGTGAAGCCTCCTGAGGAAGGTTTCTCCTAATAAACAATAGGAAGGTGTCTTCTCTTCTTCTCTGGACGTAAGGCTTCTCCCGCGCTGCCTGATGGTGGTGCCATCCTGCAGCCATGAGAAAATATTACAAATGTGCACCAGACGATAAAGGATCAGAAATTCCCGGGTTTATAGGTTTTTCCAACTAATTATGATAAAATACACATAACATAAAATTTACCACCTTAGCCATTTTTAAGTGTTCACTTCAGTAGTGTTAAGTACCATCACACTGTATACCACCCACCTCCAGAACTTTTTTCATCTTGCAAAACCAAACCTCTGAAACATCTCCCCGTTTCCCACTCCACTCCCAGGCACCACCATTCTGCTTTCTGTCTCTACGAATGTCTCCCCTAGGCACTTCCTGTAAGTGGAATCACACAGTATTTATCCTTTCATGACTGGTTTATTTCACTAGCATAAGGTTCAGCCATGTTGTAACATGTACCAAAATTTCCTTCTTTTATAAGGCTGAATAGTAGTCCATTGTATACCACATGTTGTGTACCCATTCATCCACCAATGAACACTTGCGTTGCTTCCACCATTTGGCTCTTCTGACTAATGTTGCGAAAATGTGCATATATAAGTATCTCTTCAAGACTCTGCTTGCAATTCTTCTGGGTACATATCCAGACGTGGAATTTGCTAGATCATATGGTAGTTCTATTTTTAATTTTTTAAGGAACTGCCATACTGTTTTCCACAGTAGCTGTGCCATTTTACTTCTCCACCAATAGTGCACAGTCGTTCTAACTTTTCCACATCCTCGCCAATATTTGTTCTTTTCTTTTTTGCTTTGTTTTGTTTGGTAACAGCCGATCTAACGGATGTGAGGTGAGCTGCTAGGTTCTTGATGGCATTTGTAGCCACTGACCCAGCCTGGAATTGCCCCACCTCCAGAGGAAATAAGTAATAAATATCACTATTGTTGAACTCTCTTATAGATAGGTCCTAAGTATATTCTAATTGATGTATCGCTCTTTCTATAAGACCCCCAAAAAGAAAGGATTCTCTTCATGATTTAATTCTGTTTCTCATGCTTTCCATTATATACTGTTTCCTGCACTCCAAACCTAATATAAATTCTACCCCAGAGTCAAGTCACACACAGCGCAACTGCAAATACAAAGGAGTGTTCATAACAGCTTTACCCATAATAACCAAACACTGGAAACAACTCAGATATCCATCGATAGGATAAACTGTGGTACCTCCACATAAAGGAATACTATTTAGCAATGAAAAGGAACGAAACTAGTGATACATGAATAACATGGATGAAGAAGCATTATCCCAGAGTACATACTGCAATAATTCCATTTACAAATGTAACCTTTTAGAATAGGTTAATCTAGTAATAGCGGAAGAAACTCAGAACAATCGTTACTCTATGGGGTGGAGATTGCCTGGAAAAGGGCACAAGGAATCTTTCTGGGAGGATGGTAATGTTCTATAGCTCATTTAGGCTTTAGGTTACACAGGGAGAATGCATTTGTCAAAATCGAGCGGCAAATGTATCCTAAAGATGTGTGTTGTTTATAAATTTTACATCAAAGGAACAAACTGTAAATTAATACACTCTAGTAAATTGTATGTTAGCTGAAAAATTTAGGGGACAGGCTACTGATGACTGCAATTTACTTTGAAATGCATTTTTTTAAAACCCCAAGGTGAACTGATGGGTGGAAGCCTGGACAGCTATGTCACACACAAGTACAATAAAATGTTAATGGTAAAATACAGGAAGGTGTTCACTAAAATGCTTTGACTTTGCCAAGAGTGGTGTAAAGTGTCAATCGGTAAAAGCTTTGGTTCTATATGGTAAAAATTCCCCTGACTTCCTGAGGGAGGGAGTAAAATTAAAAGGATTTAGAGAAAAGAGAGAAACACCACCCAAAACTTTTACATTCTTACACTTCTACTACAAAAACTGACATTTCAGTTAGGGTCAAAATTGGAAGGTGCTGCTGTGCAGGAAACGGCTCGGCTTAAGCGTGAACGGTTCGGCCAAAACTCACGGCCTGCTGGGGAACTGACAGGAGCCTCAGTGCCACTGGGCCAGGGGTTTCCCGACATTCCTCCTGCTTTGTGACCTTCTCCAGTTTCAGCTGTCCCTTTCATTGGGTGTTGGAACCTTGGGGCATACGAAACTCCTACACAACCCCTCCGCCCCCAGCACACTTCCTGTCTCAGGGCCTTGAGAGGTGTTCTTGAGCTAAAGGTATTATTACAAGCCTTGAGCATTTAGGCAGGGACGAAGGGCCAGGGAGTCACGCCACCAGGACCTTGAACAGAAGGACAGCGGTGTGCAGATGGCCAGTTGCGTGCCGTGTCACACGAGGTTAAGGCAAGGGTGATCTGCCAGCCTTTAGCTGCAGGAACCATGCTTTTGCCGCCCACCCCACCCCACCCCACCCCACCCCATCATTTCAGCTGCGGTGTTTACATGTCATCTCATCACAGCTGAGCCCTGGAAAGGACGCTGGAGGGCACACAGTTCAATCCACTTGCTTTGCAGAGGGGAACTGAACCCAGAAAGGTGAGACGACCTTCTCAAGATGGGTGAAAAGAAGAATCACAACTAGAAGAGATTTCCCCAGTCCTCAGTAAATGCTGAGAATAGTCAAATCTCAAAGACATGGACTCCTTCCTTCCCTTTCAGGGTTCTCATGTTATTTTTACTTTGAAGCATGAGGCCAAATATTTCTGCCCGTTGTTACAGATGTACACCTTGGACAATGACAGCGTGACTCGAATACAGAGGATCTCACCGCCGCCTCCCCCCACGCCCATATTCTTGCTTTGAGGCCCTGGTACTGGGATGAGGACTTGGTCACCTCTTGTTCCTTGATTCGTTTTTACTAGAAATCAGGAAGTTACTAGAAATCAGCAGTAGCTGAAGGTTGAGGTCATCAGAGTCTGATCTAATTGAGTGGTTTCCAGCTGAGAAAGGAACCACCCCCCTCCAGTGGCAATAACTGGTCTCTTCACTCCAGCCCCAGGCATTTGGAAGAGACCTGGCCACAGAGGCTGACAGCAGGGAGAGGGGGCCTGGCGCAGCTTCCCACCTCGTTCCCCTGCGGGGGGGTCCTCCTTTCTCCTCTTCCCCTACTTTGGGCATTTCCTCAGTTAATGCAATTACCTACTGTCTGTACAGGGGCTTCTCTGTTTGCATAGTTTTTTAACACATTTTGTCTTGGCTTGTAATCACAGCAAATAGTTCTTTTGACAGATGAGAGAAAATTCTATTTAGGGGTTGGGAAATAACATTAAACTCCTATCATATGTTGAATCCTTGACTAAGCTCCCCCTTTACACACTCCCGAACAATCAGTCCCATGAGGACTACAGTTACTGACCACCACTCACAAGCAGACTCCAAGCCTGGTGCCCCTCCGCTACGCACAACAGCTGAGAGCAGACTCAAGGGCCCAAACATGTGGGTTTTGTAGTCCAACCCTCCACTCAGTAGCTCTGTGACCTGTGTAAGTTACTTCAACTCTCTGAGCCTTGGTTTTCTTCCAGAAAACCTAATTACCTCTTCGGGTTAAGTAACAGTGGTATGCTGGTAAACATCTCACTCTCTGGGGAGGAAAGGGGGGGTGTGTGTTTATTATTTTTACTGAAAGGATATGCAGCAATTTATAAATAATATTCTTTACTGTAAATTCCATGTAACCAATTAATCTCAGAATGTGTTTATTTTTGCCAAAGTTGCAATTGACAAACTAGTTCTGACATGAACATTAACTGAAATTTTAGGTATATTAACAAGACAAAAATGAAACAAAAACGTCAGAATTTGAGTTGTTTATGAACAATGTGAGCAACTTCTTCGCTGAACAGGTACTAGTTTTCAAATACTAATGGATTATTTTTTTTAACTTCCTATGCCATTAGCAATGTTTAACGGCAACAGACATGAAACACTTAAGTTTAACCTGTATTATTAACATTTTCTCTATCACTTGAAGAAACCATCAACCAAACAATGGCTTAAGCCCTGATTGATAGTATTTCCCATGGTATGAACAATCCCACCATGGCCAATTTGGGGCCACCAACATGCCATCACTTAGCAGGGAGCTGACAGGAGATGTGCAGGAACACGCCATTAGAAAGCATTTTCACCATACACATAAAAATAAAGGTAGTGAACCTCAAAAGCATAAATAACAGTGAAATGTAAAATAATTAGGAAGTAATGAGTTTTGAGTATTATCTTCACAAATGTAATTCAATCATTGTAGGCTTTTCATTTTTAATAAGGGCTATGTTTCTAACAACCAGCTCCCTAAATTCCTGGAAATGTAACCATCAGACCACACAAACCTTCACAGGCCGGCTCCAGGCCCCCACAGCTGGGACAATTGTCATGATGTTGTCACAATGCTGTTAACTGATGGCCACGCATTCCATGTCTGCACAGCTTCCACAATACTGTCTGGATGAGTGCCCTGGGTTTTCATGGAACCTGATTTTGCGTTTTGGAATTTTTAGAAATCCTGAGACATAAATGTTCAATAGGTGTAAGAAATGAATAACTAAACCAACAGACTATTCCTCAAAAATCCTGTCAGATAAATTAGTTTAGAAAAAGAGCAGCCATTGTAGGAAGCAAAAAGATGATCAAGAGAAAATGAAAGTGTAGTTGGTCTTCTCTACTTTGGAAACTACCCTACTTGCGTTTAACTGCAGAATCTGAACAGGAAACGGCTACTGAAGAAAAATAGATGAAAATTTACAAGTAAAGTAACAAAGCAACAGGACGGGTAAACTGCTAGGGTTAAGGATGAAAAGAGTTCAGAGAAAAATGAAACAATAGGAAAGAAAAATAGAGGAGGAGAGAAAGTAACTTAAAGACTTTACAAGACCATGTTCAGTTTTATGGGCATCAGTAAGAAAATGAAGGGAAAAAATTTAGGACCACCACATTCACCTTGGGTATTTGGTATTTGAGTCCTTTTTAAAAACATTAATCTTATTTATATTAAAATGTGGCGGAAATACTAATTTTCAGAGCATGGAAAAAAAGCATAGATTGTAAAAAAAATTCTCTTGAAATAAACAAATTAAACCATTAAGGATTTTACCAAAAACTGCTATATTTTCCCCATCCCACTCGCCAAAAGTCAACAAGAGCATCTGGTACTTCGTGTTCATGTCAAACACCAGATCAGATTATCCTATTTCAAGCTGCCCCCACCCCCACCAAAATGTAGGAGAGTAACTCCGGGTTCAAATTCAAGAGAAAAGTGACAATTGAAAGAGGTGGTTGTGGCAAAAATCCTAGGAATGGGTTTTTGCTTTCTCTCCTTCTGGGGGATGGATGGAGAATGCTCCTTAGGATGTGTGATTCAGGTTAACCACGTGAGCTCCTCTTGAGAGTTCTGTGGGGAAAGCACCCTATATAAAAGCATCCTGGGCAGGTTCTGAGCTCCCTCCAAGACTGCCCTTGCAGCTACTACACCCGTTCAATCTAGAGTGTTGTTCTAAGTGACTCTGATACTCTGGTGTCTGAAAAATCATCCCAGAGCAACCAACTTTCACACTGTGAAGAGCAACCTTCACATGGCTACCAGTGCACAGGTCAGAGTTGTCATTAAACTTTTAGACAGACTACTAATTAAGGAAAGTCATGTCACAAATTTCAAAGGCCCAACCGAGCATAAAAAGTAAAACCAGATCCATGAATTGTCTGTCTCTATTCACATGCAGCATTTCCAAAATGCAGAAGGAATTTAACCTGTTTTGTTTTCCATCAACCATACGTTTATTTAGAGCTCAACGTTTCCTGTTGTACTGTGTAAAAAGGGGGACAAAATACAATGTACATTTATACAATCCACAGAGTATGATCAACATCCAACGTGGCTAACAAGGTTTTTTTTGTCCTGGAAGCACTCTTTCCAAGAAGCCCGAAGAGCTCAGTATAGAAAAAAAGGAAGGGGGGGTACTTGGTGGAGGAAGTTTGGGGAAAACTGCATCCCATTAACACTTCCTTAAAGGATTCACAATGCACATTCACACATTAGAGCTGGGGACTGACATAAAGACACATCGGTAACCTTGTTTATCCTAGCATTTCCCAGTTTAATCAAAGCCCATTACTCCCAACATCAATTAGTATCTACAGAAAAGTAGTGGATATTACCAGTCTGGGAAACACACACAGGGAATGCGAATTGAACCAACTGCCTTTACTTCACCGTGGCCACAGCCACTGGGAAAGGAAAGGGGGCAGAGGGAGGTGGTCTTGCTGAGGGATCTCACCCCTTTCATGGCCAAGGATGACTCTTGACTAGATCAAGTCCCCCCTTCCTCTCTCACCAACTCCTTCCCAGAAAGACTACCTTAGCACGTACAGTGAACCACTATCAGCTGGCATTATAGAAAATAGCAACAATCCTTGCTGGAATCTCTAACTCTAAAACCATCTTTCAAAAAAAAGCTCTGTATACAGACATTTCCCTATGCTAAATTAGAGATTTACATAAGCGATCCAGCTATGAGTGTTATTTACAATAGTCAAGACCTGGAAACAGCCCAAGCGCCCATCGGTAGATGAATGGATAAAAAAAAAAAAGCTGTGGTACATTTACACCATGGAATACTGAGGCTGTAAAAAAGGAACTCCTACCTTCTCCAACAGCATGAATGGACCTGGAGATTATGATGCCAAGGGAAATCAGCCAGTCAGAGAAAGACAAATACCAGACGATCTCATTTATATATGGAATCTAAAATCAGGAGGGTGGATACACGGAACAGACTGACAGCTGTCAGAGAGGAAGGGGGATGAACTGGACAGCCAAAGGACATATGCATGATGCCGAGACACAGCCAACAGTGTGGTGCTGGCTGGAGGGAAGGGGGGAGAGAGGCTGGGTGGAGGTGGGCAAATGGGGAAAATGGGGACATCTGTAATAGTGTCAACAATAAATTTTTTAAGAAGAGATCCTGCTATGTTCAGGGGAAAGTACTAATTTAAATTACAAACCGTCTTACAAAAACATCGATAGAAAGATACCAAAAACCACACTTGGTTAGAAATAACATTTATTATCCCCTCCCCCCAGGTACAGATTACTTTTCAGAAACATGAAGGTAATATCCATGTCCTCATCAATAACAGTTTGTAGAAAATAAACTTAATTCACATCGTCAACAATATATTTCTATCATTTTTTTAAAACAATAGCCATTTTATTTCTCCATGTTAGTTTAAGAATAGCTTCAAGTTTTGTTTCAGATCAAATCAAGGTAATCATTGTTTATAGGTCATTTCCTGACAGAGCCCATCCCCCCAACCCCTAAAAAAAACCTATATCCTAAGTGATAAACTCTTCTTGTACATTCAGCAAACTTTATTGGAAAAGAAAAAGTATAACTGAGATAGGTACTTACTCTCGTGCACAGTAATAAATCTAGCTGAGCTTCTACACCTTGCTTTGCAATGATGCTTACATAAAATAAATCATATCAAGTTACAATGGTAATTTCTTGAAATGTAGATATGAAAGCTATACACTTAATCCACTGAAATTTCCTTCTTATTAATCTGTGATTAAACCATTGCCATAAGGAAAAGCTTCTTTCCAAGATATTACCCCTTTCCCTCAGCTACTTCTCTCTAAAAGGCTGAACCCTCTTCTCAGATGGTGTAAAGAGACACATTAAAAGCACAGAAAAAAAAGTTTTTACTTGCTGACATAATGCCCTTAAGTTTGCTGCCATAATGCCCGTATTTTAACTTTAAAATGTAAAAATCAGAGTTAAAGCATCACTTAATTCATACAGTACATTATTAATTAATCAACAGTGTCCCACCAACTCAGAAGTTTCCTAGAACTGGTTGTCCTCTCTGCATTTAGTAAGTTTATAACCAATGTCCCAATCAAAGAATGTGCTTGTAATAGGCTGCTGGTTTAATTTTAGAATTGGAAGTTTCAATGTTGGGCTATTTTCAAATATAGAAATGCAATGAGTGGCATATGAACTACTAATTTTGTTTCCCATTACCTACAGGAATTCATTCAAATAAAATTTTACAAGACAAAATGCAAATCTATATATCTATACATAGATGTATACATGTATATATTGAACCTAAGGTTTTATAAGCAATACTAACATAGTTCTGGTTACACATTCCTAAAGACTTAGTAATTGTTTTAAAGATACATGTTATAAAGACATTTATGCAAAAGGCAAAAACTAAGAATTCAAGATGATCTTTGAGGTTTTCAGTATTACTTCAAAAAGCTGTTTCTATCCCCCATAGAAGAAAACTATGCATTTGTCTTAGGAAAAAAAATTATAAAAAGATAATGCTATCATGTAAAGAATTCACAAAAACTATACTGTATATCCCATAAAAGTCATACCTATTTAAGGTAAATCACAATTATGGTTTATATTTTATTACAGACATCACCATCACCTTTCCTCTTTAATAATGAGAGGGTTTAACTTTATTTTTAACTTACTTAACTAGTGCCACAGGAATTCAAGTCCCCATAGCAACAAGTTAAACAAGATTACAAAATAAGGCATTCTGCTCACATGTCATTAAACAGGCTGAGTCAAGTAAAGTGGGTTCTTTTCATTTTTGCAAATTTATATAATCCAAAAACTTTACAGAAGACAATCCTAACTGCCTCCCAAAACACAATTAATTGTTATTTTCTAGGGAAACAAAAAAAGAAAATACATAAAATCCTCAACTTTGGCTATTTGTCCTACTGCCATAAACAGAGGTTGATCTTATCTATCTAATAAAGCACAATATTAGAAATGTGAATGAAATGTTTCTGACTATACCACTTCTAAACCTGTAGGTCACATATGAAATAATTTACCAAATTATAGAGTAAATCTAATTTGACAAAATCCCTGTAGTGTTATTCAGAGGGGAAAAGTAGACTCACAACACACTTGCACACACACACACCAACATACTAAACGATTTTCTTAAACATTGACTGGTTCTCCAAAAAGAATCAAAACATTTATCAAGCTGGAGCATGTGTATAAAGGGCAGCAATGTAAACTTTTTTAGCTCAAGGTAAGAATCTGAATAAACTTTTAAACAACTAGTACCTTGAACCAAAAGTTTTACCAAAGATGAACTCTAAAATACCTATTTTTTTAAAATTTGGACTCAACTGTCTGTTGCACTTTTACATTAAGTGTTGCTTAAACAAAAATAGAGCATAAATTTCAATATTCTACTGCCTAAACATTTAAAGCAATGGTTATGTCATCAACAGGTATAATGCACCTAATTCGGGTCTTCTGACACCCTTGTTTTAAGTTTATTGTATGATAAAGTTCTTCACAGTTTAAAATATTGTGAAGAAACATATTTATGTATAACTATATTCACATACATATTATGTACACATACTACGTATTTGATGTACCCAGAAACTCTGAATATGTGTGTGCCAGGATGATACCCCACACATAGGCAGGAACCCTGAATAATAGATTGATGTGTGAACTGTGAAATGATTTCCCAGAAATGCTTACAAATCAGAAAAGATTATTATAATGATTAATAGTAACAAAAATTTTACCTTATTTACATAGTGCCTATCTCCCAAGAGGTAAATATGCTTTATAGACATTTTTTAGTATCTCTGTGAGGTGAGGTGTTGGGAACACTATCAATTCTCATTTTCCAGAGCCAACTACTCTGTGCAGGATCATATACTTTAACAGTGGCAGAGTAAATACAGACAGGGAAATCTCCTACACTACAAAGTCTCCAATTACCAGATCAAATAGTCTTGTGGTAAAATCAAGTTTCCATCATACAATAGAACTTCTACCACAAAGGATTAATTTTTAAGTCCTCATATACTTGTTATATTTATACCACAGGGAGATCAAAATGGTTTTTGGTTTTGGCAGATGAAAAAGTCTAACATTCAGTGTAACTATAATTCAGTGTAACTTCTCCAGTTTAAGTGAGACACAGCTGACTGGTCTATCAGGGAAATGCAGTCAATGTCTAATCATGGCTAAAAGAAAATCTCAATCCAAACAGCTACTGCATGACTACAGAGAAAGCCTACAATCTTGTATTGTCTTAAAGGTCTTTTCTATCTCCACGTATTGTATACACATATAAATAAGCATTTTAGCACAAAATGTACAGTTAGCATGATTCAGTTCATGTTTAAATAAACAAAGGCCTTAGGGGTGAACTTTAAAGGCCAAGAGCTCCTCAGAGTGCATGTTGTTTAAAGATCGAAGATCTGGCAACTTTAGAAGAAGTTTTGTAAAAATAGAGGCCTCGTTTGGATGGTTTTTCATTATTAAGGTCCTTAGTGCACGGATGAGGGTTTCCTGCAAAGCCTCCACAGAGTTGACGTTTTCTATTCCAGATCGATCTAATGAAGAGTAAGGAATAGAGAGATAGGAAGGAGAGGATATATTATTAACATTAAATATAATTCTTGCTCATCAATCTCATTAATGAATTCAAACAAGGTTTTATACATTGGAACACAGGCAAAAGATGACTGACAAAGTGTTTAAAGTCTCATTGGCAAGTTTTTATAGCTATTTATTATATTATAAAGATATATATCATATAGTACACTTGATAAAATTCTTTAGTGCTTAGGTATTTCTGATCACAAACTAGAGATTTTTAAAATTAGGTATCATCTGCTCATTTCAAATGCTTCTAATTGGCAAATAAAATAGTGCAGTTTAGAAATATATTTTTACCTCATATGGAATATATCCACATTTGTATGTTACCATGTATGGGAGGCAGCCTCTAAAATAGCCTCCACTGATCCTGGATCCTGTCCTTGTATATTCTTCTTTTCTTGAGTGGGCTAGACTTCCTGACTCACCACTAATGAACAAAAATTAGACTATAAAAAAAAACTGTAGCTTCCATCTTAGGCACTCACAAAGCCAGATGCCATGTTGGGAGCTGCCTGACAGAATGGTTGAAGCGCTAAGAAACTGAAGGTAGTCTCCAGCCAACATCCACCAATGAACTGAGGCACTTCAGTCCAACAATTTGCAAGAAACTGAATCCTGCCAACAACCATGTGAATAAAGTTGGAAACAGACCCTTCCTTATAGAGCCTTCATATGATGAGACCACAGCCGTGCCCGCAGCTTGGCTACAACCTCCTAAGAAACCTCAAGCCACAGGCACACATCTAAGCCACGGCCATGTCCCTAATTCTCAGAAACTGTGGGAAATAAATGTATACATTCTTAAGCCACTGAGTTTTAGGGTAATTTGTTATACAGTATACAGTATGTTAGCTAGTTAACATACTACGCGACTTTAATATCTAGTGTATTCACATTCACTTAGCATACTGTGCTTATTAAGCTCATCACACCAATGTTTATAAGTGGTTTAATAAACCAATAAAATAAAGTATCTTAAAATTAATTAGCCAAACCTATGTTGTTTGCCCAATGACTTCTCTCATCAACAAGGGCTATTTCTTCCCTTTACAATAGGAGGCAGTAGTATGAAAGAAATATTCAATGGCTCCCAGTTTAGGGAGCTATAATTAATCAGAAAGAGACTTCTCCAAGGAAGCAAAATTCTCTGGCCATTTACACCCTTTTTTCATTTTTTACAAGGAGATCAAGGAAATTGTCCATTGTACCTCTGGTTGCTTAAAAAGGCCACTTGCAATACAAACATTTAGAACACTAACTAAAATTTAATAATAAAGGGGAAAAAGTTTGTGGTTGTGGGCACATGCAAGAGGCAACCTATCAATATTTCTCCCTCACATCAATGTCTCTCTCCCTCCCATCCCCTCTCTGAAGATCAACAAGCATGTCTTCAGGTGAGGATAAATAAATAAATAAGAAGTTATATCATGCAATCTAGAAATTAACAAGTATTTCTTCTGACAACCAAAACAAAAACCAGAAAGCAACTGTAGATGCCAAGAAAAACAAAAGCCTACTTCAAATACAAAGAAACTAAAGTTTCTTAATTCTAAACAATTAATAGAAAATATAAATGAATAATACATTTGTTATCTGACACTTGGACCATTCCCCTCTCAGGAGGCACAGGTTGAGGGCAGAAATTTATATTGTCTTGTCTACCATTTCAACCCCACTGTGTGAACACTATGAGCACTATTTACATGATCATAGTGCTGTAAATGCTGATTTTTTTATTTTTTAATTCTTGGAATCAACTTATAAAGCATAAAAAATAATCACAGCTATAGAACAGAATGCAAGTTTTTTGACTTGCCCATAGACATTATTTAGCAAAAGAAGCCAGGATATGGAGAAAAGAGGATACTGTCTCCCTAAAAAATGAGATGATTCTACCTAAACTATCCAAGAGATTATTTAAAAGTGAGGGATCAAAAAACGTGAGTATGTAGCCCTGACTGGTGTGGCTCAGTGGACTGAGCACTGGCCTGCAAGCCATAAAGTCGCCAGTTCAATTCATCGTCAGGGCACATGCCTGTGTTGCAGGCCAAGTCCCTGGTTGGGGGCGCAACCAATCAATGTTTCTCTAGTGCATCGATGGTTCTCTCCCTCTCTTCTCCATCTCTAAAAATAAATAAATAAATAAAATCTTTTTTTTAAAAATGTGAGCATGTTGAAATTATAAATAAATCCAATACAGTAACTGAAAAAATAAAACGTAAAAATTACAAGGGAAAAATGAAAGGGAACTTTCTCAGTTCTATTTACTAAATAAAAAGAGGTATAAGCATAGTATTTAGACTTGGGTGGGCAACCATCAAAACAATCAAAATGAAAGATGCTTAGAAATCTAGTTCTCAGAAGAAAAGGCTGGGAGTTGCAGAAGAAAGAGAATTTTCATTTAAGACTCTTCTCTAGTTCTTGAATTTTATTTTCCTGCTTAGATACTGCTTTAAAAATAACAACAGCCTTCTTTAAGTGGTAAAGGTTTCAATTTGACATGAGCACTATGATATATCTAAGTGAAAACATTATTTTTAAATGCATAGAATCGTGCATATATATGTATTTCTTGTATGTCTTCATATATAAACACAACAAAAATAAAAATGCACATATTATTTTATAGTTTTCCACTTAATATGCCAAACATTTTTTACATACTATATATCAATAAGCAGGCAAATGGATAAATGGATGGATAGGTGAATGGATAGCAAGAAACCCCTAATGTTAATAGGTGTCTTTTTTGGTAGTGATATTATCATTATTCTTATTTTCATCTTAGTATTTTCTATTTTTTTCAAAGAACCTCTGTTATTCTCATGGTCAGGAAACAAAGCAAGGCTTTTTCAAAAGGAAATCAAAACAAAATAAAAATCATGTTCGTGGTGGAAAATACAAATGATGATAGTAGCACAGTTCCTAGCACGGACAAAGCTCTGCTTCACCCCTTCCCTTCATTTCTTCTCTGAAACATCTCTGGTGCTTAGTCCCTCCCTCCACCTCCTCTGACACAACCTATTTCAGAAGCGTTCAATCCACTGCCTCACACCTAAGGTGACTTCAACAGACTCCCTACCTGACTCTCCAGCTCTAATCACTCACCCATCTAATCCTCCCAGGACACCGACGCAGAGGCAATGTTAAAGCATCACTTTGCTCGTGCCTCATCATTCCTCTGTGTAAGAGGTTACGCTCATCTTCAGCTGTCCCATTCAGTTAAAACTCCTCTGCTTAGTTCTCACTGCTATCATTCCATACCTGACACTCCCTTAACCTGTAAGCCTTCTATACCCCTCCTCCTTGATGTACACATTAGGCTTTGGCCCCTTCCCCTGCCCTACTTTGTGTTTTCCCACACCGTTCCATCATTTTTTTGTTGAGAAAACTTCATAATCCAGTTCTACCTCCATCTACCCCACAAATTCCAGCTCCACCTCCATCTTCCCCACAACGCCTTCTCAGGTGACTTCATCTTCCTTCCTTTAACTCCTATTTACCTCAGTCAGACCACACAATCTAGTACATCAAGCTTTTTGTGTCAGTTCTGTCTCCAAATACAATGCAAATACTTTGAGAGCAAGTATCTGTCAACACTTGTTCTGTCATCCCCTGAGCACCTACCACACAGCGCACAGACATCAGATAAAGAAATGAACAGGTATAGATTACCTTGAGTTTCACAATAATAGGGCTATTAATCTTATGTATACTCAAAACATTACTAATTACTTATCAAGAGACTGCAAAACGGTAAAGGACAAAAGTCATTACAAGGTTACCGAGAGAACAGGCATCCCTTCCTGGCACTGTCCTTCCATTCCCTCCATACTATTCCCATATCAGAAGTACATTTTTAGCTGTGCAGGCAGATATCATCAAAAAATGTAGCCAAATTATGCTTCCAAATGGCCTAAGTCTTTATTCACACCACTGATGTACAGGTCCTTTATGATATACAAAGAAATTACTCTTCTTAAGAGTTACTGATTTACAGTTTAGTCAAAAAACCAGGACCATAACTTACACTTTCACAGTGCCTAGCACATTTACACAGTTGGAAGCAAATGAGGAAGCATAAAGTATGTCATATCAAAATAGTGGAAAATTCTTAACAAATGTTTTAAAATAAAGTCATTGATACCTAAAAGTGGCTGGTACTTACATATCTCCAGGAAAGCACTGCCTCAATTTCTAATTTGCTACTGGGAACTAATATCTGCTTTAATAGCTATTGTCTAAATTGAAATACTTTGGTCAGAAATAGCTGCAATATAAGTGCAAGGTAGGGAAATTGAGAAACATCATCAATGACTCTCATAAATAAACATTAAATGTTAGGATTCAAAAATCTTTGTCACTCACTCAAATAGTAACTGACCCCTTGCTAGGCTCACATGCTATAATCCCTGCCTTGCACAGGATGAAAAAAACCGAGACAAAAGGGTAAAATTACTTACATTCAAGTTACACATAAAATTCAGTGGCAAAGCTGGGTGAGAACCTACAACTAAAGATTCACCAACTGTTGTAACAAACCACACTAATACATACTGATACTTTCAAGAAGTAACATACATATACATATTAATTAACAAACCACATTAATACACACTGATACTTTCAAGAAGTAACATACATATACATATTAATTAACAAACCACACTAATACATACTGATACTTTCAGGAAGTAACATACATATTAATATTGATACTTTCAAGAATATACATATTAATTAAAACAATTAATTAAAACAAATTGGTTCATATTAGAACCACCTACCTGGAGAAATATAATGTTCCAAAATGAGATGATGATTTAGATTCATAAAAAATCATTAACAAAAACTAGACTAAGTGGTAGATATGAGGCCCAGCTCTAAATATCATTTTATTATTATACAGCACTTTTGACTGTTACTGCCATGATTTTAAAAAAAATTATGCAAAAAAATAAAAATTAAAAAATTAATTATGCAAAAAATAACAGATTGACATAGCTTAGCATCTTCCTTAAGGTCTTCTTCTCTCTACACAGCTTACTCCCTAGTTACCTGCCACCTCCTCTCAGTTGGTCCTTACATTCTAGGTATGGCACAATTTTGAACCAGCTTTCATACCTGCAGATACCAGGACAACTGCTGTAAACAAACTCATCTCTTCATCACTAAGCTGGAGGGCATTCAGCTTCTCACTAAACTCAAACATAGAGTTTAGCAGATCCCCAGCTCCCATTGAGTGTAAGTCATCCACGCTATACTTCTTTCCACTTAAAAAGGTGACAGTACGCTCCTTTGCATCAAACAATGAAGCAAACCGAACCATTAAAACCTGGAAAAAGAAAAAGACTTAAATGTATTTGGAGTTCAATAGCAATGCTAGGAAATACTTCAGTACTCAAGTCAGTCAGTAAACATTCTATACATAAGAGAGTATAAAGGAAAACCTGAGTTTATGTTTACCCAGAATCATTTCCTTAAGGCAAATTCCCTACCAAAGCAATTGTTATTCTATGAATAAGATCAAAAAAATTCTAGCCACCCAGTAGCAAAATACTTAAGTCCTGTGGTACCCTAAAACTCTATTAATAAAGATTCTGAAATGCAAATACAAAATTAAAGCAGGCAGTAACGCCAAGAAATCTGAAATGGGCCTTGGCCAAAGGCATTAAAGAAACTCCTTAAGCTACCAAATATATCTCATGGTCTCCAAGCCCTAAATAAAAAGAACAGTATTTCAATGCAGTAATACTTGGAAACATTAAAACAGTAAATGCAGCCATGGCAAATGCAGCAGATAAACTCTAATTAGACCATTTCAAGAAATCATAACCCAATACACAAAGAAAACTATTATAGTAAAAGTGTGCTAGATACCAAGTTATACTCAAAATCCTAACCAAACCAGTTGACAATTGCTTACCTACAGCACTCCCTCCACTGAATGTTGACATTTGTCATATATTTCTCTCCTAATCAGCAGAACACTGAACATGACATCCCTTTGCAATGCTCCCAATCAAGGACTTGTTTTACCCAGGACAATCCAAAAGAGAGTGAGCCTTCTATGAAGATGACATTACCTATAACACAGCTATCCCAGGATATATCACAAGGCGAAAAGACCCCTGGTCATGGAGTCAGGGGTTTGTATTCTAGCCTTGACTGTGTTATGAATGTACTGATAATCCAAGAAAAGCCTCTTTACCTCTCTAGGCCATTCTTAACCTCAAAAATGGCTGAATTGAACTTGATCACTGATATACCTTCTGGCTTTAAATCTTAAATGTAATGTTTTCCTTTAAACTGAGAATCCTCACCTGTAGGTGTTACTTTTCATGAATAGGGCTTCTTCTCTGTTCTAGTCCAAGTGCCCCAGAAAATAGAGCCTAAGGCCAAAGTTTATGTGAGGTGTGCACTCGCACATGTGAAAACAAGAGTGAAGAAAAAGGAAATGATATAGGGAAGCAAAGAGAGCAAATATTAGTAATACTTACGGAGCTGGCCACCACTTATTATCAAGAACTGAGAGCCCAATCTTATGAGACCATAAGAAAGTAATGGCTCCCTACCCCCAGTGATCACAGATTTCACCCATCAGACATCAACTTCCCACCTACTGATCTGCACTTCAGAATAATGCGTAAGTGAGCTCCAAGCAAGCCCCGAGGCTTCTCATACCTGAGCAGCAACAGGGAAGCTACAGAACAGACAGATGAGAGGCACCTAACTAAGCACAGGAGAGGTGCTGTCCGTGTCCTACTAAAGTGGGCAACACTGACCCCAAACCCTGACAGAAGACATCACAGCAAGAGAAGCTGGAGAAGGAAAAGTAGCCAAAGATTCTGGAGATGAGGCCATGAAAATCTGAGCTGCTACATAAGAGATGTTTCATACATCCCCCAAATACAAGGAGGGGCAAAAGTAGTTTTACAGTTGTTCGTATGAAAAATAATATAGTATTAATAGTAATATAAGAATAAACTCTGTTCTATATACTCCCAACTGTAAACCTACTTTTGTCCCAACTTGCATTCTACAGTCTCATAAAAAACAAAAACCACATTCTATTTACCCTCCTATTCTGTACTCAACATAGTGAACTCCAGGCTAGCAGTAAGTGTACACTACTCTGCAGAAGCCACCACATCCACATCTAAAAGCAATACTTAGCCCTGGCCAGTGTGGCTCAGTTGGCTGGAGCACTGTCCTGTAAATCAAAAAGTTGTAGGTTTGATTCCTGGTCAGGGCACATGCCTGGGTTGTGGGTTCAGTCCTCAGCCAGGACACATACAAGAACAAGAGACAACTGGTCAATGTTTTTCTCTCACATCAATGTTTCTTTCCCTCTCTCTCTCCCTCCTTTCCCCTAAAATCAATGGACCTGTCCTCTAGTGAGGACATTAAAAAAAAAAAAAAAAATTAAAAGCAATACTAGAACCTGGAGTTCTCATGCTGGGAATACAGAGCATTTACATTTCAAGTCCTAAGCGACTCTGCATTTACCTAGTCTCCTCCCCAAAATCCTGAGATGGACATCCCTTTGTTGGCAGTTGCAGCCTCTGGACTATAAATACTCATTTAGAAAAGAAGGACCATGTGCATGAAAATAAAATACTACATGTCCTGTATCCATACTCAAGATTAACAAAACCTACCTCAAAAGTCCCAGCCTTTAAAAGATTGACCTGGTCATGCTGAGAGAGATCTCTAAATCCAGGAATACGCTTTGCAAATTCGACCACTTCTTTCACTGCTGGGGTGAAGCTCATTGAAAATTCTTCCCAGATTTCATGCCCCGATTTATGAGGATCCACATATGGAGACTTGCTCATTGGACAAACCTAGCATGCACAAAACAGAAAAGCTGTTAAATTGTGAGAGGTGGTAAAGAAATTTCAAAAGTGGCATCTCAATCACTGGAAACGCCAACGTGAAAATTACTCTCAGATGATATTGATGATAGCACTTTCTCTTTTGCTACTCTACAGTAGGACAGGAAGCCTCACAGCAACTGAATTTAAATAGTAACTCACTTATAACCATGAAAGAGGCAGCCTAAACAAACAGATCTGTTAACAAGGTAGTTCAGAAACCCGTGGCACAGATCTAAGAGTTTACTTTGCAACACTGCTGCCACCTTATGTTGGCATTATGGTTTAAAAAAAAAAAATCACACATATTTACTTGATTCTCAATCCTATTAGTGAGTTATGGCAGATGTTACAATTACCATTTCTTAGATGAGAACTGAGACTCTGTAAGATGTTTAGTGTTTATCCAAACACAGCTAGAAGTCAAAGCCGTAGAACCCAAGCCCACATTTAGTTAATATCTCAAAACTCACTTTTTTCTAAATGGGCACAATTACAATGTGTAATTTCAAAGATGAAAAGACAGTGATATCTCACTTTTTTTTTAAAAAGGTCACTAACCGTTTATTTTAGAAACAATTGTGTGAGCACCCACCTCCACTTAGTCAATTAGGAAATCAAGACTGGAGATACAAGGTGCACCTTTTTAGGATTGGGGAGGAAAAAACAGGACACTAAAGAAGGCACTAAAACACTAAAAGATTACAAAACATGCACTGGAACTTTTAGTAAAATCAGCCTTTACATTTTCACTAAATCCAAAAGATTCAAGAATTAAATGATCCTATAACCATGATTTTCTTTTCCCTCTTTAAGGTAGCCACTAAGTCTAATAAAATATAAGGTCACCTTCCAAATCCATGGGATCGAATACTTGCAAGTGACCAAAAAAATCTAACAAAAGGATTAGGGTACAGTCAACTATTTTGAAAATATAAAAAGAAGGCTTTAATTACCTTGCTGTGGAAAATACCAAGCACTATCAAAGGACCTCATAGTTTAAACTGGAAATGATGCGGTACTGATGTTTTTGCTGAAATTGTGGCTGAATAAAAACACTGTACTTTCATGTAGACTGTTGTATTTGATGAAAAAAAAATTGAGTGATATGAATAACATTAACTCATCCCCTAGGATGAGGGCTGAGAAAATCCTTAGAAGCTAGCCTATTAAATCAAACTATTCCTAAATTCTCACACAATAAAACATCTATGTTCTATAACCAAAGACCCTTTTGTATTATAATGGTTAAAGAAAACTCCAGAGAAATCAAGGAATTACTATGGTAGACTAAAAGATCAGCCCTTAGAGAAATCCCAGTGCTAGTAAGATGATTAATCAGAATGTCTAAATTTTGAAAGGGATTTCTAAGAATTAAAGGACCAATTTTGCATGATCCGTATTTTACATAAAATCCTAATTCCAATCATAGTATCAATCAAATCACGTTTGTACCTAATTCTGCGAAATTAGGTCATTCAATAAATGATGTTTATTAAATGTATTTGACCTAAAATATTGCACAAAAGTGATTCTGTAAATCTCTTAGGTTTTCTGACCCACCCCTGAAGTTGGTGTATCTCCCATATAAAAGAAAACCTTCAAAGTTTTCCTTGATACAAGGTGAGCAAAAAAAATGATTTCACTATACCAGATGCATTCTCCCTCCATTGTTGCACAGGTAACTATTCTTGTTCTCATTCTGAGAAAATCCATCTATCGAAACTCTATCACATACTCTTTGAGTATAAGCATTGGAGAAGTTCATACAATGTCCATTTGCAATACAAATGGCATGCCCATTTGGGTAATGCATTATGTTCCTCCCTTTATACTGTCCATTGAGATTCTGCTGGCTCTCACTACAAGGAAAATGGTTGCTAAGCCCATTGCCACAATGGTCATGGTTTAAATTATACTGCTCCATGTTCTTGGGAATCCGTTCTCGTTGGGGCTGCATGGTCTCTGCTGAGTTTTCTCGCTGCTCTTGATTATACATAAAGGTATCCTTGTGGGCTCTGGTCACCATGCCAATTACTTCTTCCTTTGCAAAATCAGAAGAGGGAGGAGAAGAGCTTTTGATGTTTTCTTGCTCCAGCTGGGGCTTGGGTCGCAGCTGTTCCTGGGCTGGTAAGGCTGTCTGTTCATGTTCTACTAATGCGTCATTCTGCAAATGACCACTGAACTGGCTGTTCATCATGGTCTTCATTGCACTCTGCATTTCAATTAGCATCCTCTGTTTCTCACGCTTAGGAATACGACCAAACCGAACAGCTATTGAAGAAAAAGATATTTAACATCTATATTCTAAATAAGACCTGTTTATACAAAAGAATAACACAAAATTATCTTTGGTAGCTATGACCTCTAGTAACAAATTATAGAAATGATCCCTGAAAGGATAGTCTTTAATAGCTACGACTTCTAGTCATGCAAGTAAATAGTATCTATGTGTGTCTGGAACAAATTACCCTAAACTTACTGGTTGTTTCTGATATACCACAGGAAGTGGAAGGGAGGGAGAAAATTTTCCACTGTTCTCCAAAAACAAAGCTAAGGAGAAGATCTATCTCGTAGGTATTTTAAAAGCAAAATCTAAGAAAGAAATCTGAAATTAACTAATGAAAATCAGAGCCTGAAACAGACCAGCATGACTCCACAGCACCTTATTAACAAGGCTGATGGCTGTTTTTAAGGCACATGGGATTCAGCTACCTACATCCATTAACACTTAATAGAACCTAGTAGATACAATCACTCCCTGAACATCTGACCTTTCTCAATTTATTTTTGTAACCTGTTCTCAAGACCCAACACTAAATGACCTGTTCTTTCCTTTTCCAGCTTCTTCAAAAAGAAAACCTTTTTAAAAAAAAAAAAGCCTTGGCCAAGTAGCTCAGTTGGTTAGAGCATCATCCCCATATGCCAAGGTTGCAGGTTCGACCCCAGGTCAGGGCACATACAAGAAGTAACCAATGAATGGATAAATAAGTGGAACAGCAAATTGATGTTCCCTCCATCCCCAACCCCACCCTCCAAAATCAATTAGGAAAAACGCAGTCAATAGAAATGTAGTTACTGAAAATCAACTTGCTGAATTTTAATTAAAATCAGTAAAATAATTCATCCTCCATTATTGTAGAGGATAGCCTTAGAATGTGTCTGGTCTTTTAAAAAAGACAATAAAAATTCTATATATCCACCCAGCAAGAAAGCCTTACTAATCTAATTGTATCTCTGACATTTATCAGACCAATGCTTTCATTGTGTTTCTCACTCCACACCCCTATTCCCTCTCCTTCACCAATGGCTGTCATTTTTATTCTTTTGGGGCAATCACAGTATCAACTTTAGATTACTATTTCTAGTGCTATAAAAAATTCTTCAGGCAATTAAAAATCCAAAACATCAGTAGCTGAAATCTGTTATTCAAGAAGCTTTATATTGTAATACTGTATTTCTGTGTAAAATATTAGAGCAACATAAGAGATTGCTTAAATGACCCTCCCCTAGATAAATATGAGGTTCATTCTTAGCAGCTCTTAATTAGGCCTACTAAACTAATCCCTCTGAAAACCTCTTCCTCTTCTGTTATGTTTCATAGAACAGAATTAGACTATCCACAAATGATTTCCCTAAGCACATGGAAGAGTCAAATCTTCCAGTGATGTCATACACAGATAATATTAGCAGTCCCACAAATTACAACTTTTACTTCCCATTGCTCCATTTCAAACCAGAATAGAGCAACCTCCTTCACTCCAGACCCTAACATTTCTTTTGATTTTGCATTTCCTTTCAATGTATTCAGAATCTGTGCCCTAAAAGCACATTATCATCTCAGGGCTGAGAAAGTGATGAGATTCACATAAAGAGAAATCAGTTCATCAGCAATGCTAAGAAATTATAGAGAAAGGACCATAGATTCCTATATCAAGAAAAACTAAATCTTTTTTAGGGAAAAAGTATTCAAATTATACAGGGGGAAAAAAATGGGTCTTTTTTACAAGAATCAACAACAACAAAAAAAGCGAGCCATAAGCCGTTTCTGGGATGTTGATGCTAATATTTGACTTCAATGAATTTGGCACCCTATAAGGCATTAAAATGTGTTTTCTAGTATCTGCTTCACCCGAAGCACGAGAGAGCCATTAGTAACTGGTTTATAGCTCTGGTTTATGCTAAGGAATAGAAGTCATACGCTTTAAAAAAGAAATTATCTTTAAACTAGGAACATACCATCTCTCGACATTCCAACAGACAGACACTTTTTGAAGCGACACTGCTGACATCTGTTCCTATTCATTCTCATTATAGAACAGTTTTCATTCTTCAGGCACTTCTTGTACTGGATGTTTTGCTGAATGCTTCTCCGAAAGAAACCCTAAGAACAAAGGAAGACGTACCCGCTCATTTAAAAACATCCAGATGAACACCTTGTAAGCAGCCACTCCCAACCCCTAACCCATTTAATATTACTAGCTACACCTGGGAAATAATTTTGTCTTAGAACAGAGGGAAATATAATCTTGACACGTGGAATTTAACTGGAATCTTACCAGTATCAATAAGCACCTATACTTACTAGCCAAAGAAAACTCTTCTTCCCTTCCTCCTTTTGGAGAATCTTGCTGCCTTCCAAGCTCCCCTTGTACTCCACTTTACCCTGTTTCCAGTCCCTGCCTGCAGCCACATTTTCCAACTCACATCTTAATCACATACAAATTCCAAAGCTCTTAAAATATGACTTATTTTTAAAGAGTTGACAGAAAAATATGTCCCACAGCTATAATCCCCTCATTGAAACTAAGGATTTTGTTAGTAGAGCTTGGTCTTTCTGGATCATTACCTGTTGATACCAGCAAGGCTTACTTATGTGTGTCAGGTGTTCCTGGCTGCTTGTCAGCAACAGGTAAGTGTCATACCACAAACCAACTAATGATCCAGGGAAAGACAGGTCCCAGCTACATGGCTACAAGTAACTGTCTTCACTAAACAAACAACTTAAGTACATATGCTGTGATAGGTATTCAAAGATCCCACCTTAACAGTTCATTGGAGAATGAAAAAGGAACACAATTACCAAAGTACTTTAAACTGCAGTTTCCTTGTTTACTTGCAAGTTCCAATATTTCCAACTGCAGTTGAAATGTGTGGTTAGTTATAAACTGCAGTTATAACTAACCACACATTTCATGACTCTATGTTGGTAATTGTGGGATAAAACATTTTTATACTTTATTACTGCATTACTGTACTTCGACACAACAATATCTGAGCTAGACACACCTTTAAGAAGCTACAGAACAAATATGTGTATTTACCAAGAATACACGATTAGGCTCATTGGCTTATGCTTTGTTTTCTCTAGATATAAAGTTAGAATGATGCCTGCCCCACAATTACTTCACACTTTTGAGGGGAAAATTGAAAAAAGGGTATTTATAGAATTTTTTAAATGGTGGGAGTGCTACATCTATATAAAATCCTGACCAGCTTGTTAAGTGACATGGCCGTTAAAAGCTACCAAAATCACAATTCATTCCCAGCCACCCTAAAAAATACTTCTTCTTTCACCATGTATATGCATTATCTTGTTCACGCACCATATCCTGCCAGACTGGATTCCTGCTTCTGGCTTTCAGTCAGAGAACAGCAGGAGCACTTGCCATGGCCACGTGAATTCAGGAGAAAGGATTGTGTCAGATTAAAAAAAGAGAAAGACAGGTTCCCTGGGTATAAGTAGGAAGTATAAACTTTCTCCCTTGGAATTATCTGATGGACAATCTAAGAAATATTCAACTAAACTTAAAATATAATAAGCTTTCTCAAGCATTCAATCTATATCCAATTTTCTTTTATTCACTTGGCATTACTTCCAAAGATACCACATTTTTATAAATATCTAGGAATTATTCTCAACTCCTAATATCAGACATGTCAGAATGACAACACATCTGACGAGACCTATTCAAAATTTGATTTAAACCAGTTCCAAGAAGGCAGGAGTGCCTTGTCTGTTTTTTTCCCTGCTGTTTCCCCTCTACCTAGAACAGCACCTGACACATTAGTGAATAAGCATTTGTGCACTTGATTTCATACCATAATTAAATTTGAGTGAGATAGCAAACTTATTTTGATCAAAATCTTTTAAAAAAAAATTTCACTGAGTTAGAAATGTATTTTTCAAAACAAATTATATTTATGTATTACATAAAATGCTTAAGACTTAAAGAGGAGCAGCTGACTTCTCTCCTCCCAGATTATCAACTGTGGAAACTGGCAAACGTAACTCCAATTTCTTTAATCCCAGAATCAGTAGGTTAAAGAAACAAAAGCATGCTTTCTTTACCTTACAGCCTTCACAAGCATGAACTCCATAATGGAATCCTGATGCCACGTCTCCACAGACTTTACACAGTAGAACCATGCCACTAAATTCTAAGGCACAAACACAAACAAAAGTGAAAAAATTTCAATTGTTTGTTTTCTTTCCAATTGAATATTTTGTTCATCTTGTAAGTGCTTTACAAAGATACCAATATACTTTTATCATTTAAAGAAAATTCTTTACACCAAATTAACAATCAAAAGACATCATAGTTTTCTCTTAAACTCAGTTTATGGGACTACCAAAAATATTTCAGAAAAGCTGGTTTTGCCCTTTCTTGATCATTTTAAACATACTCTGAAATTTTGTAAATCTAGAGTTACTTCACACTAGATATACAACCAGAACTAGGAAAACGAGTCTCCAAAGTAAGAATGAAAAAGTCAAGCAGAAAAGCCAATCAATAAAAGGTACAATGTCTGCACAGGCTGATATACAAATACTCAAGAGTTCCATTAATTAACCTACGGGCATCAAGTAGGTCCTATTCCTTCCTGATACTCCTTCCTACACCAGCCCATCTTACCTCCACACCCACTTAGGGGTCCAAATTCCACTACTCATTTGGTTATTCCAATCCTGCTTTATTTCCTAATTCCAATGTTCCTAGCTCCAACTTCATGGAAGAAAAACCTTTCCCACAATGAGTAAGCACTCTGTCTTAGAAACCAGATTCAGTACTGGCTTCCAGAAGAAAGGTAACTGTGAAAATGTGGCAAAAGGGGGTACCCTAGAGGAAATGTGGTAAGGCACAGTACATAACCACATATTTCATTCAGTGGCAATAATCAGTTATGATAACCCCTAGAGGCTGTGACTTCTAAAACCATCACTGATTTCTTACCTAACTAATGAACTATGTATGATTACCCAGAAAGGAGTGAAAATTATACCCCAAATGAAAAGTTGATAAAGCAAGCCCCAGTTGCAATTAACGGCACCAACCTTTAGAAAACGGAAGTAACTTACTTGTCACTCCACTATGACTCTTCGTCATCCCAGGTGCACTCGACTTGCTTGTTTTCATAGAACAGTCTATTCGATCATTCTTCAGAATGCCTTCAATATTGGAGAGATCACCACTTTTGGGATTACCATTGTTATCAGAATTGGAGCTATTTGGAGAAGACGGAACAGAAGAGAAGGAGGACTGGAAACTATTCTCAGAGCCATCACTATGACACGAGGCAGGGCTAGAGGCTGAGCTGGAAGAACTGATATAGGCAATTACACCTCCTAGAAGAGAGGGAAATCAGATAATTAGATACATGATAATATATATTTTCTATTTTTTATAATTCTGAACAGTAAAGTCACTAATTTAGAAATTGGTTACTGATTAAATGTCAACTTATCCCAAGAAGAAAAATAACTTATTTCCTACTATTCTTCCTGCTTCCACAAAGTTCAAAGCCCATTCAATTCCCATTGATTTAAAAAGTGAGAAGGCTCTGATTGGCTTAGTTATTCTCAGCATATGCAAATCCAAACCTTAAGTTTTCCATTTTCCAATCTTTTCCTAAAAGGAATAAAAGACCTTCCTGAGTGAATCCACAGCTTAAACCAACTGTTTTGGCTGTGAAGAAATCTGGTTCTGATTCTCTTTTTGTCTCTTCGTTGTACCTTCATATGACACAATCCTGGAAACAGTGAATTCATCATTTGCCTCCCCCATCGCTTGGCTAAAACACAGGTTAATCAAGAACAAATGTAACATTTGGAACTCCGGATAAAGTAATTTATCTCAAAATGGAGAACCTTTCATAATTATTGCTCCCAGAATCTGTTTTGATGCTCCCCGAAGACTTCTATGACTATCACTAAACCCCAGTTCCACTCTCCCTTTCTCCACCTACTTCTGACTTGAAGACATACTTATCTCTAAGCACCTTTTAAGGAATCCAGACTCACTACTTGCTCTTTTGACTGACTACAGTAAATGTTCAAGAGGCTAAAAGAATAAAGGTTATCAGAGAGTAATATTAAGGCTGAAGTTAATGCCCTTTTCACAGTGCTACTCTCAAAACACTACTCACAACTTTATCAATGTAACTTCCACAACCCCTCTGAAAACTGGTCTTGACACCTTAGAGACTGTATACCTCCCAGGTTAAGAAATAGCATTTAAAATTATTTTTAGAGTGTAATTACAAACTTCTTCACTCAAAAAGATAAAATGCTGCAACAGTAATGTCATAGCCAAATATATTATTTTTCCAAATCCCAGGCCAAACAAGAAATTCTCATATTCTTTGCCAAAGTCTATTGTAGTTTCTTTTCCTCTTCTCTCCATCATCAACAAACATTTATTGGCTTTTTCAATGTGTATCAGATGCAAAGTTATCTCTCTTCCATCTCTGTCCTGAGGTCTTATTTAAACCTATTGTTCACTTGTTTCCATCTTTTTCTCAACTAGACCATATGCACCTAGATGTACAGAGTGTCTCTTAATTCTCCATACATGCTTCATGGAATAAGCCCGTCATAAATATTTTGAAGACCTACTTCTCTGCCTTTGTGAAGCCCACATCTAATAACCAGGAGAGATTCCAGAATAGTATAAAATATTACTAGGAAGTTGCCAGTAAAACTGCATTTCTGACAATAATCTAGATGACTACGCTTAGAAAGTGGAGAATTTTGTACATTCCCAAAGTAAAAACTACAATTCAAGCATTCACTCTGAAATAAAACTTTCTCTGCTAAAGGGAAATGACTCTCCAATCTTTTTTTTAGATGAAAGTCACACTTTTGTAAGTCATTTAAAAGAAACACACACACACACTCTCTCTCTCTCTCTCTCTCTCTCTCACCAAAATATGCCAAAACAATTCCAAAGAACAGAAAAATGTTTCCATTTACAGAGAAGAAAAAGAGGCAGGAGAGTTTTAGTCTTTGAATCACTTTCAGTCTGTCATGTTGAAATTAGGTAACAAATACATATTTATGTACTAACTATTATATCCAGGCTGGGAAGCCCCGGAGAAGTAAAGTACAATCACATCTCTCAGGCAGTTTGATTACAATCCAGAAGAGATGTTGAAACAGATGCCTACTATGCCAAGGAAAACACAGCAGTGTTGATCATACACAAATTTAATATGTGTAAGAGCAACTAAGTGTACTTGAGTTTTAAATAACGTGAAAAATCCCATCTACTTTTCCATTCTTTAAGCGTATGACTTGTGTATCAGCCTTAAAGCTGGGGTGTGAATCTGCTCTTTCTATAGACTGACCCACTTCCCAAATCCTCTTAGCATGTTCTTATCACCTGCCCAGAATGAAGCCAGAATTTGATAATTAGTATTTGTCCTGTAATGTGGTCCCTACCTATAAACCACTCATTCTCAAATTGTGGTCCATGGACCTAGGGCTCCAGCATCACCTGGGAATCTGTTAGAAATACAAGTTCTTAGGCCCTGCTCCAGATCTACTGAATTAGAAATTTTAATCGCCTTGGTGCTGCTGATGCACAGTACAGTTTGAGAGCCACTGTCACACCAGCCAAGTACTTTCATTAGTACTCAATGGAAGAAAAAGTAACCAAGAGCAGTTTTAATAATAAAAATTTCATCTACCACTGATTTTAAAATCTAAAGGGTCCTAAGATTTCAAACACAAGGATAAAAAGCTTCCTAACTTTGAGTTAATTCACATTCTCTAGAGATTATGTTGAATACATATTATCAGAACCACCTGATACTTTTCCAAAATACATGTTTCCAAGGTTCTGCCCAGATGAGAGAAGGCACTCATAGGAATGAGCATTTTTAACAAGTGCCCCAGGTGATTCTTTGCAACTTGAAGTTTAGAATGCCTACAACCAGTGAATTCAAGCACAAATTGGCCTACAGTTTCCTTTTTTTTAATTGTTTTACTGATTATGCTATTACACTTGTCCCAATTTTTCCCCCTTTGCCCCCCTCCATCTAACAACTCCCACTTTCTCAAGCAATCCCTACACCACTGCTTATGCTCATGGGTCATGTGTATAAGTTCTTTGGCTACTCTGTTTCCTATACTGTACTTTATATCCCATGGCTATTCTGTAACTACCTATTTGTACTTCCTAATCCCCTCACCTCTTCGCCCAACCCCCCCCCCACACTCCTCCTATCTGGCATCTATAAAAATGTTCTTCATTTGCAGAGCTTCATGGACTATTGTCTGTTTCCTTCACTGAATTAGGAAAATTTTCTTTCATTGTTTTTTTTCAACTAGATTTCCAATTTCTTGCTCTTTTTCTTCTCCTTCTGGTACCCCTGCTGCAAATGTTGGGATGCTTGAAGTTGTCCCAGAGACTGCTTACACTATCCTTGTTTTTTTGGATTCTTTTTTCTTCTTGTTTTTCTGATTTTGGTTGTTTTTTGCTTCCTTATGTTCCAAATCATTGATCTGATTCTCACTTCATCCACTCTACTGTTGTTTCCCTGTAAATAATTCTTTATTTCAATTAGTATATCTTTTGTTTCTGGACTGGATCTTTTTTATGCTGTTCAGGTCCTCACTAAGTTCCTTGAGCATCCTAATAACCAGTGTTTTGAACTCTGCATCTGAAATAGATTGCTTATCTCCATTTCGTTTATTCTTTTTCTGGAGTTTTGATCTGTTCTTTCATTTGGGCCATGTTTCTTTGTCTCCTCATTTTGGCAGTCCCCCTGTGTTTGTTTCTATGTATTAGGTCAAGCTGCTGACTCCCTGTCTTGATAGCATGGCCTAATGTAGTAGGTGTCCTGTAGGGATCCAGTGGAACAGCCTCCCCTATCACCTAAGCTGGGTACTCGATATGTGCCCTCCATGTGGCCTGAGTACACCCTCCTCTTGCAGTTGAGACTTGATTGCTGTTGGCAGGTCAATGGGAGGGATTTACCCAGGCCAGTCAGCTGCAGAGACTGGCTGTGACCACTGACGACCAACCTCCACCCTCCATGGAGGATCAGCTGTGCAGGGGGCAGGGTGGTGTACTCTGACATGGTCTGTAGCCGTCCACTGGGTACGCAGGCTCTAGGGTTTCCCAGGTGATGCAGGCCAAGGTCAGTCCCCACCTGGACTCTGCCCAGAGCCACCCTGCATGAGCTATAAAGCAATCTACAGATGGCTGCCTCTTGTGCTGGGCTTAGAGATTCCCATGAAAAGCAAAGCTATGAACCTAGGCTGGCTACTGCTACTGCCAGGACCAGGCCACTTAACCAAGAGGTATGGGGGCTGGAGGCTCCCGGAGGCTGGCTGTTGCTTGTTTGAAAGGATTTAGGAAATTGTAAAGCATGAGCCAAGACCAGCCATTCATATGGAAAAGCCATCGTTAACAGCTTGATTGAGCCATAATTGGGTGGACAGTCTCAGGGGATCTCCAGGGAGGGACAGTGTTACCCAGGTTGATGAAGTTTCAGATATGGCACCTGCCTGCTGGCTCTATGGCTCTGTGACTCTGTGGGAGTAGGGTTCAAAAAGGGACAATGGCTTCTGCCCACCTTTCTGTGTGAGCAAAAACTATCCTCCCACTCCCCACTTGATGCCAGACACTTTAGTTCCTCCTTGTATGCCACTGGTGCCTTTCAAGCTTCTACACCAGTGCTGGAGCTCAGAGCGAGGGCATCTGAGTAAGTCTGTGTATGAGTTCTTTAACGGGAGCTGCTTGGGACTCTGTACGTTTCTTCCACCTACTCAATCCCCCCTGGTTTCTGCAGCCAGAGGTTATAAGGACTTATTTCCCTGGCACTGGAACCCTGGGCTGGGGGGGCCTGGTTTGGGGCTCAGATTCCTCACTCCTGGTATGTCCCTCCCAAATTTTTATCCACCACACATGGATACGGAACCAGCCCATTCCACGTCTCCACCCCTCCTACCAGGCTGGTAGTTGTCAGACTTACATTCAGCTCAATTTCTGATGATTCTGAGTGATGGCTGTTCTATATTTTAGTTATAATTTTGATGTGGTTGTACGAGGAGGTGAGCTGTTTACCCATGCCAGTACCCTGACTGCAAGTCTCTGATCCTGGCCTATAGTTTTGAAGGCTGATGTTTCATTGACATAACTGCCACCTACCCTTAATATACTATGAATCCAAAGAGAAGCAATTTTAAGCTGGAAACCTATCAAATGTCATGTTCCCAGGTAAAAACTAGGTGCCACCTGTTCTCATAAAACTTTAAAGAGATCTGAAGTTCACATTAGAAATTTCAGGTGTTAACAAACTGTTGCTTTTTTCACATGTCTCCACTCAAAATATAAAGAA